ATGGGGTTTCTATCAAAAATTTATATGGGTCTAGAGAATCTCTACGGCTCTCTGTAAGTTAATAATTGATCTTAAGTTTGATTGATCTTAGTTAAGATAAATCGATCTTAAATAGAAGGCGTTGATCGGTTTCTGTTAAATGCTAAACTTGTTTACTAATGTTCAAACTAGTTGCATGTTGAATGTTCTAAGACTTTATATGTTATGTTAAACTAGAACTAGTTTCGTTTAAGTGTTTTCTAAGAATAATAATTTTAACTAGCTATTAAAAACGATGATGCTCAGCCAATTTCCCGCCCACTCTAAATCAGAACCGTTACATCAATTTTCATTAAGCGAAATCGATCCAGCCTGAAATAAATTTTAATTAATAATTAATGACTCACTAAATGAGGCTTCCATAAAAGTTTACTTTATGATGATCGAGTAACTTATACAATGTGGTAATGACAGAGTAGAATATATTTCGTCACCCTACTTTTCTCGCAGGACTCGTAAGAACTGACTAAAGAACTACATGATCTTTCAACCGTAGCAGAGATCAGACAGTGTCTGCAACCCATTTATCACCAAGCGATCACCGGTGACCGCTCTCTACTAACTGCATTATAAACCTTATTTACGATGTTTAGAGACTAATTTTGTATGAACAAATTGAGGGGATGATTTTCAACTAGCTAAACCTGTCTATACTGCCACGAGCCATAAGCGCGCCCTCTGATAAATTATACCTTCAAATTGTAGTCTCCAAGTGTGGAGACAGATGAAAAACTATTTTAAGTGGAGGTGGCAAGTAATCCAGCAGTGACGCCACGTGCTGTAAATGTTGAGTGACTTGCTTAAATTATATTTAGCGAATTTAATAATACAAAAATATGATACACACATATCTACTTCGATCAGTAAATAATATAAAAGTACTCAATTTAGATCTGTCAAAAGTCAGAAAAACATTACAATGTACTTATGAGTACAAATAAAAGAACATTATGCCTATTTTCTTTCAACAGTGTGAGCAGTAACTTTTGTGACCTTTATGAGTTTTATTATTAGCTTCATGTACCTTGGGAGAGAGATTTCTGACAGGTATGATGTGTTACATTATTTAAAATGCTATTTCGTGTTCTTAGATATTGTGTGAATATTCCTAGAATGGGATAAATAGATATGAGTACATTGTTCTTTGTAAACGAAGTTAGTATCGATAGTTTTAAGACGATCTCAATTCTTCATGTTATAAGAAATAATAAAGTATTAAGGATAATGTTACGTTCACAATTTTAATAAATTTGTATATAAATGTTGAATATGTAGGTAGCTTTTTATTGAATTATAATTGTATTGGAATTCATAAATAATTTGTTTGAATTCGAAATTCCATGCGGTGCTTCAATAATTATTTATGTAAATACTTTATTATGGGAAGTGGTAAAAATGAATGAGAGCCACGTTCGTCCATTTATACAACTTTACCGTTTAATCAAATTTCGTAAAATACGATGTGAAAATAAAATGATGTATTTCACTCTGCACTTAATTAAAATCTCAAAGGCGAATGGATAAATACAATTAAATCTCATTATGACCACATATTACATTACGTTATGCCATTTTGTTTATTTTCTGTGGTATTCCCTACATTTTAACGAAATCCAAAATTACTGAAACGTAAAAAACCCTTTTGAAGTAATGAGAGTTATTAATGGGATTTCATATTTTCGAATGATGCAGCTTGTAATTCGTTTTCGAAAATTAAAAAGTCTTTCACAGTCATACTTTATTATGCAAGTCACGTATTTTCCCTCACAGATTTCAAAGTAAGTTTAGGCATCCTTATAACATAAAACATTGTGCCTAATCTGTTTAAGTTTTAAATTACTTATACCTTAAAAACTTTTTCAGAATAAAAAGCGTATTTCTTTTCAACTTCTTCTTGAAGTATAAAGTTTGTGTAAATAAGCTAAGTGGTGAAGGAAAATTGTCTTTATTTAAGCTGAACTTTATCGAGCATCAGAGAGCGTTTGTCAACATTTGACGCCCCTCGAGTTTCCAAGAAAGGCACTATAGATTTATTGGACAAAAAGTGAAACAATATTTTAGACCATTTCAACGAAATAATGGAAATATTTTGTGGTCTTTGAAGTGATAAATATGTAGATTCAGAAATCTAAAGTTAGTGAATGATTTTGACGTTTAATTTGACGTCTTAATTAAAATGTCCCAAGTAAGAACTATCTGGAATTATTCTCAAGTTTCATTCGGATATTATGTTTATTGAAATCTGTGCCTAATATACGGTAATAGACTTAACCGCTATTACACAAGACACATTCTAACAAAATTAGTTGTAAAGTGTTACATTGTGATAATTAATTTTATTTAGGATCAAAACTTATAATGTACGATGATGATTTGTTCACTCGCTAACCCGAATTCCATATAAACGTAATAACTGAAACATAATACATTAATGATCAAAATGAAATATAAACAGATTATTCTTGAAACATGATTTAACATATTTTCGATTACCGCAACAGCAACCACTACATTTTCACACAACCCTCACAATTTGTGGTCGCATTTCTGTGAAAATGTTCGAAACTGTTAAACATTAAACTGAAACGCTTTAACTAGCTTCTACCGGGAACCATGTAATAACGAACTATCAAGTCATTATTTAATCCAATTATTGACAACGAAAAATGTGTATGAACATCATATATATATATTTTTTTTTTTCAGTTTAAAAAAACGTTGCCCCACACTAGGATTTTCTCCTGTGTCGTGGGTGCGTTTACAAACACATAAGTTCACATACACATGACACCCAGACCCGACAACTTTTGTCGGTTACACAAAGAGTTGTTCCGTGCCTGAATTGAACCCGCGACTCCGCACCGACCGCGCAGTCATTTGCACTAAATTAACACATCGATATGCATTTTTGGGAAGTTTGGTAGCAATTCGTGATCATTTAGAACATCTGTGAATAATAATGTGGTGTCTTATAATGGTAATTATTCGACTGTTACGTTGATCTTATAGCCACAAAAATAACTTGCCACGGCATCAAGCCACAATGTTATCAATTGGACAATATATTATAAAGATCCTTAGTAAGTCATCTAAGGTTACGTGTCTATGTTATTACTTATTTTCAAAAAAAAAAAACAACGAAGTTTTCAGCCAAAATGATTTAAAGTAAGTTAACTTTCTTGAGAAATAGCTTTAAATTTGCCTTTGAAATTTTCAGACTAATTCACTGAATTTCAAAGAATTTTACTAATTTGACAAGACAGTATTATTGTTGAAATAAAAAATGACAGTTAATAATGAATTAATAGGTGAAAACAAAAGTGATTCAAATTAATTAGATGAAGATAGCAAGTGAATGACGTCGACACATCAGCGTTAACATAATACTACTCATAATTATGAGACCCGGGGTTGACTTGAAACTCGTCGAGCGCCATCTAAAAGTTATATGAATAAAGTACCATTTAAGTAATTAAATTAGAACATCTCATATGATTCACATACAAACTTTTACCTATTCGAAGTACGGAAACCGTTTCAAGTAAGTCAATCGAATGTGTAATTTATTAGGTTAAAGACACGGTCACATATCATTTAAACTTTGCAAACCCAAACGTAAGGTAAACGCTGAGTCACTCAAAAATTAGACTGCAAATAAAATGGAACCGTGGTGAAAGTTTTAGGAACACTTACTTACGTTTGGATAAGATCAAAGTGGTCACCGGTGACCGTATTACAGCATTATAGACCTTAATTCCGATATTTAGAGACTACTTTTGTATGAATAAATGCTGTGGATTTTTCATAATCTGATATTTACGAATATTTTATAAGGTCGAAGTTAGTGTAAATTTTGGCTTTTCTGTTACTGAATATATGAGTGAGTTTTGTGTTTATAAAGTTTGATTACTTTGTTTTCTAATCTAATGATTCTTGTGATTTAACATAACATACCATCACACCTTTTATCCCCGAAGGGAACGCAGAGGTGTACATTACGGCACTTAATGCCACAGTACAATGTATCACCCACTGTTCACTATTTATATTATGAGTCCAATGCAATAGGGGGTGAGCCATATATCAGGCATATTTCCCGATTCCGTGATATTACTGACATTTTTAAAAAACCAGTAATTTTTTTCTTGACCCGCTACTCAAACCCGATACCGCTTGCCCGGCAGTCGTATTTGCGACAACTCGGCATTGTGATTTCTTTTTTGAAGTTCTCATAGATTTGTTGCTAGTAGAAGCTAGACCTAGTTTTGTTCAATAGAGGATATCATCATGATAATAATATCTACAACACGTAAAAGTATTTAACGTTAAAACTGTAAGTTACAATAAAAATATGAAACAAATAAATAAATGAAAGCTTAAAGCCTTGAAAGTATTGCAGCATAAAAGTGGCACTCGCAAAGTAACCAAAATCCTCACTAACAGCTGGAAATATGGAATTAAAATCATCGTCGAATACAACATGAGTAATGCACATCCATTTACAAAATGTATTAAAATACCCCAATGGGTTTTAAAGGTTTATGGTTTAAAAGCCTTTTTAATATTTGTCCTGTTTCAACAAAAACATCTTTTGAAACGAAATATTTGTCCTACTGTTTTGATGAGTTCTAAATACTTCCGCTTACAGTAAAAATATTTCTCGTCGGTAGACAGTAAGCATTGAATATAAGATAAATAGAAATAAATAAATAGTGCCTAATTATTATGTAACCTATACTTTTGCTAATAATTATAGATGTAGTTAATTGTAGTATGTAACTAGGTTCCCTCTTTACTTTATAAAAATTGACTAGATGTATTATAATTAAAAAACTGTATGACAAGGGCACGGACCTAGAGTCCGTGGAGAAATAATCTTTAATATTAAAAAAAAAAAAAAAGATAAAGGAATCTCAACTTTATAGAACAATATTTTAATATTCATTTTCTTTTGTCAACAGTTCCTTATGATCAAGTGGATACTGATTCAGCTCTGGTACAAATGTTTGCGCAAGTGAACGCCCCAACGTGCAAGTACATCGTCGCTATTGGTGCTTTGGCTGGTCTCACCGTCTCCATGTTCGGCTCTATGTTCCCGATGCCCCGAATTGTCTACGCTATGGCTAGTGACGGATTGATTTTCCGGTAAGTTCTTTTATACATTCACAGATTCAGGAAAATTTGGCTTAGCACCTACAAAAATTATGAACATAGAAGATGTAGAAGATACCTATGTACCTCATGCTTACCTATAATGTGTTGTGTCTTGTAATATTGTCTGTATGGTGTGGATACATGAAATGATAAATAAATAAATAAATAAATGTTCGTAGAATTCATTTGACTGTCGCAAAAATCCAGCTAAACAAATTTCCACGAAACATTTATCAATAAAACGTAAACGTAAAACATAAACACCAAAAATCGTGGTTAGACTGCTTGATTAAAAAACATTAACCTTTCTACGTGTCCATTTGACATTATTTCACGGCTTCGGTTCGTCTAAAGTAATCCCTTTGCAAAGGTTTATTGAGTCGTATCACGCAGGCTTATACACAAACTGACATTTGATTTAATATTTTCATATCTTCACTAAATTGGTTCTACCCTGTATCAAGCAAAAAACAAATATAGACGACGTCTTGTGTAATATGGATATCGCGTTGTTACTTTATTGTGCGCATTATAAAACTTAAATACAGAATATATATTATTAGACATATAAATTAGAAGGGCTGTAATGCAAGAGGCAAAAAATAATTAAGAATAAGAATAGAAACAAAGAAGGAACAATTAAACAAACAAAGTGTCATGAAAAGTGTGTAATTATTACAATTATCTCCAAACATCAATAACTTTAGAATCAAGGTACATTTTCTAGACACATGCATCTAAATCAATTTCAAAACCTAGTACTAAACTTGGTTAGGCAAACTTGAATCCTATGCGCAAACTTTCATGTTAACAGAAAGTTTCGACCTAATTAGTAGCACCTAAGCCACACGCCGTATCTTAAAGGAATACGTAGAATAGCGAGACATCTTCTAACTAACTATGTAGTTCAAGAAGTTTCCTAACTAACGAAGACTGTGGTAAAGTAACCACGATGTTGGTTGTAGTAACCGATACTCTTTGACGCGGTTCAAACCCCATTCAATACTAAGTAGAACTTTTACTGCAAACTTTATTAGGAAACATGAGATTAATAAGTTTAAAACTAGTTAGGATGCTAACAAACTTGTTCTTTACTACCTACGTTTTGATGTAGTATTAATATTTTATGTATGTTAATCGTCTACCAATTACATACCATTACATAGTAGGCTTTCTCCGTGTTCGTATTTAATCTGTTGCAGACTCCCAGGAACATTCTGTATTCCAATCAATTTCCGAATGTCAGTAAATTATTTTAGCAGCAACAAGGTAAATGCTCAAACGAATAAACTGCTAACTTGGAACTAGCTGCGAGAATATTGAATGCATTTGAATACCAATTTTCATCTATTTGCAAATTACAAGTGTAAAGTCTTGGTTCAAAAGCACCCTGTTTCAATATAATATTCTCTAATAATTCACCAGTTATTACTAAATAAATACACACTCCAAATTAATTAATCTGCAAACGTGCATAGTAGTAAAACCCTATTTATTTATGAATAGTGTACAGAATCGTATAGTGTTCTATTCAAATTGATGAATAGTATGAATAATATTGCACTATGCATTGATAACGATGCCACACAGGTCTTGGTTTGGTTAATACTATGTATGTGCAACTACCATTAATATTTCGATGAATAGAATTTCTAATGCAGCAACTATGAGTTGGGAACTATTGTTCTCGTTCATAAATAGCGTATTATAGAATTTTGTCCAAATTGTGGGTTAATTTATTACGATTTCATTAGTGCTTCCAATATAAAATACTTAATCGTCGAATGTTTTTATTTTGTTGTAACTATGCCACTATATTACATTATACATATGGTACATCATAAAATTATTTTATGTATCTTTATAGACGATTAATGGGTAACAGAGAATTTGCCTACAACTAGTATGCTAAAGCAATAAAATGTTTAAACTAGATATATCTTATCAGTTTTCGAATACAACTTTATATGCCACTTATAAATAAATATTTAAGTTGGGAGGTTTCTTAAAAATCTTAAAATTATTGTACATTTTTTTATAAACACTATTAAATTCCTATGCACAATGTTTCCTACTTGTTTATTCTCTTCGCAATCGTCCCTTTTGGTTTAAACCACATCAGATTATAATTTTCGCTCCCCTTCAACAAAATAATTCATATTTTTTTTAAATACATTATTCAACCAAAGATGTCGTTGAAAGATTTCTTTGATGTCCCCTTTTCTTGTAATGATATGACGTTCAACAGTAAGTAACGGAACCCAGGATTTAAAAAACACGATTTATTCCGTGAACGGTGTTTCAAAGTTCATTAAAATATAATGACAAAATTATTACTGTCCGTAAACAAGCGAATACGATTTGAGACTACATCGATCAATAAATTTTAACGTACGATAATGTTGTGACATGATGATTTTACATATATTTACGTATTGATAGTAAAACTGTAAAATAGGATTTGACGATTAAGTTTATGCAATGATGTCGTGTGAGTGAGGTTACCGGAGGCCCAATTACCCTCCCCTTCCCCAATCTCCCCAATCCCTGAATCCCCAACGATCGTCAAACTCCTAATCCCCAAAATGCCGGTAACGCACTTGTAATGCCTTTGGTGTTCCGGGTGTCCATGGGCGACGTCGATTGCTTACCATCAGGTGATCCGTCTGCATGTTTACCGGCTTATGCCTTAAACAAAAAGACTAGCAATAAATTATTAACCACATAATATTCATCTTAACACATCAACAGCGACTGGATTACTTTGATAGTTTATTTTAGGTTTTCAAAATAAAAATAGTTATATCAATTTAACGCTCTAGCTTAATGTAAAGAAATCAGTACAAAGCAAAAGAAAGCGCTAGTTTAGCTAACAAGCGCTTCATCTAAAGCAATTTCGCACCCCTTTTGCACACATTCTGATAGAAATCAGCTTCTTGTTTAAATCTCAAAGAATTATCAAGCGTTTTTTATAGAAGAAAATCTCAACTTAATTTTGTGATACTTGTCACAAAATGCGATAAATGCAGGATCTTTAAGATTCTCTTGAAAATAAGGAAAAAAATGTCTAACGGTTAAATAAATTACTGGCATGACAGACAGGCTACTGCATTTTCTCCAGCGCTTAAAGTCTAGAATGCAGAAGAGATAAAAAACAGTTTCCGATCCAGTGTAGACACTAAGGAATGGTGTTAAGGAATTTATCGCGAAAACATCTTAGGAAGCGGAATTTTCTTAACACTTTATTTTTTACTGGATCGCTTCAAATAGTTTGGGTTTGGATGATTTTCTCAAATAAAGCTAGAGGTAAATATCAATCTTGGACCTTCAAATACCTTATCTTTTTATGAAAATTCAAGGAATGTGATAGAATATTACAAAAGAAAATATTATTATAGTTATGGAATGTCAATATTAATTATGGACTCACTATCAAAATAATAAAGGTAGGTATATTTTTTGTAGAAAAAACTTGTAAATTCTTTAATTGGAATTTAGCTTCCAGTTTTATTTTAAGTGGAGTTTTGGGAACTATTTCGGAAGCCATTAGATAAAACATTAAGGAACTCGGGAAAAGGCTTTCACAGTACTAAAGTAAGTACTTGGAACTTGTAAGTTTATTCCTTTGTTAATTGCTAGTATGGGCTTGTACGGTCCATATACTTTGTACTAGTGTGAATACATCAACAGCCAGCAGAAATGAAATGATATTTGTTTCTGCAAATAGATTACAAAGTAACACTTTTACATGTCAATCTTTAAATTAATACACAAGGGCTATTTATATATTTTCTGACCACCCTGAGAAGAAACGCCGAAACAAACTCAGAGGTCATTGTCTCTTTTAAACGCCAGACAGATTATACCTCTATAATATGCGAAAACTGTGCAAGTTGATTCTGTAGTCATCTTTTGAAGAAAGATCCACCACAGTTTGAATGGACTTGTTCTGATGGAAACAGGCATGTAACAGTCGGAGTCCAATACTGAACTATGGGTTTCTAATAAAGAAGGTTTGTCCGAGGGCTGGACATCGCAGTATAAAATAATCTGAGCATTCGTTAAGTAGGTATGTAGTCGTTCTGTTCTCTCTAATGTCACATCCGCGCGAATAACTAGGTTTTGAAATATTTATTGGACTTTGCTATCACTATACTGCCTGGTCGTGGTGGCTCGGAGGTTTAAGTCGCCTGCTTCTCATGCATGTGACTGCAGGTTCGAAACCTACCAACGGCAAGTACCAATGTGGCTTTTTCCGAGTTATATGTACTTTTTAAGATTATTTAGACACCACTGACAAACGGTGAAGGAAAAACATCGTGAGGAAACCTGGGCTTATAATTTCTAATTATAAGTTTGAAATCGCCAACCCGCATTGAGCAAGCGTGGTGATTCATGCTCTAACCTTCTCCGGGTGAGAAGAGGCTTTGCTCAGCAGTGGGAATTTATGGGCTGTTGATGATACTGCCGGTCCTTCGTAGACAATCAACGTTTGATAACTACACTAATATAAATATTCACTGTTCAACCAATCTGAAACATTGAACAACGGTTTTGAAATTAAAAAGTTGTAAATATAGCACTTAACTTCACGGTTTCCAGAGAGTTCAACTTCACGGTATGCCCGACTAAGCAATTTGTGCCGATTAAATCCTCGTTATAATTATCTCGATAGGAACTCGTTTTTAATGTAATTAAAAATGGATCTCAGTTTAAAATATGTAATATTGAACTTTATCGCTTACCTCGTAGAAATAGTTTTATTTTTTTAAATATTCATTAGATTATAGAAAATACTACTAATTACTAATGATGAGTTTTAGGGCAATTTGGAATAGTAATATTATTATATAATACTAGCTGTTGCTCGCGATTTCGTCCGCGTAGAACATGATTCCTATTTTATCCCATAGGAGCATTTAATCGGGACAAAAAAATCCTATCACTTAAATCAGCCCATACCCAGCCTGTATACCAAATTTCAGCGTTAT